TGCTATATTATTACTGTATTTTACTTAACAGCGTTATACGATACTCATATAACCCAAACCGGAGAACCCCAAGTTTACAAAAGAGGAAATGCTAATCTGCTTTGTTCGAAATTCGAAATGTGGACAAAGTTTACAATATATTGCCTGAGCTACTGACTCTATGAAGAAAAATAAAGCACCAAAAGAAGACGAACCGTGGAACACAAATTATTAAAAAGCAAGATGACAAATTCGCCCAAAAATATAAAAACGTTAAAGTACGTAGTGAGAAATTTTGTTTTCTAATGTCGAACAAATGTATACACTGACTATGAGAAGAGAGCAAAAGTAGAAAAAATCATTGATTAAAAATTCAATCCCATTACTTGTTAAAAAAATCTTTGATTAACATCTCTTCAAACTAGGCACCGATTGCCACTAATGCCATTCAAAATCGCCTTAAACTTGTAATTCTCAAACATCCTTCGTCAGGCTCAACACATAGAATTTCACTCGAGAACGTTTTCTCACTGCGCCATAATTTAGCGCAGAGAGATGAAATACAAAAAATCTTTTAAAAAAGCGATCAACACTGGCTCACCCAGCGCAGACTTCTTTATCCACAAAAAGAGGTACTGAGGACGTCCTCTATTAAGTGAACGATACAATGTACATAGTCCTGTATAATAATGAAACGCGACGCAACGATTGTCAAAGAAACATCTTTTAGCGCAAGTATTGACGTCTCGAACATCGTGAATAATTTGTGGGCCTGAGGGCATGTGATTGCCCGGAATAAATACGAAATGCATGTAGAATAACATACCAGTCAATTCTCCTGAAAACCAACTGCTTATCAAGATTATTTTACTATTATGTAACTGCATGTAACTTGAACTTCTTAAGCGTTTTTTAGTCGCTCGCTGTTACAGAGTGTTAGAGACAAGTGAAAAAATGAAGTATCTATGCTTATTTGCTAGTTTCACTACCGCGATCGTTTGGATATCTTTGCCAAAGGCGGATGTAAGCACGAGTTCGGCCGTTGTCTAGTGATGAGAAAATAAAGCACGTTCTACCACTGTATCTAAACGCGACACAAGTTGAGTGTCTGAAGCAAGATTGGGCACAAATTTGAATATCCAGAACATTGTGAATGAGCAGCGATGAGTCCGGATAGTAATAGCCAGGCTCGTATTTAAGGTGAGGCATAACTCCAGTCCAGACTGCAACACACCAGTATAAAGCTCAAGTAAAGATACTGATTGAGTTACAATACAAAATTAAGAATCAAAAGTTTTACCTGTCTCCGCTATAAACACTTTTTTTTGCACTTTAAGTTTGATAATCAGAAAAAGGAGTACAGAACGAACCTTCTCCAGCTGGCGGTCTTCTTTTGAACCAAAGGTTTATGCCTCTTGGCGATTCGCCTCGGGAAACTGTTTGGTATCCAATGCAAATGCCATTTTGCCATTCAAATCCAGCACACATACAGTTAAAGTAACAAGCTCTTGCGCAAGCTTCGACGTTGTTCACGTCAGGTGGCCTCCACGGACCAGATGGTCTATGCACATTCGGCACGTAGACGAATTTAATAATGTAGATCTTGAACGGCTCTAAACGACTGTGTTGGTGAGGGGCGTAAGAATTCAATTACTGGGCTGCAGTAAAGTCAGTTTTGTGCTAATTCGTTTGGATCAATAGTTTTCTTTGCTTTCGTTCGTCAAACTTCAAAATATTTCAAAAAACTACTGAAATTTTTAGAAAATTTATAAAATTAATACTGCACACCTATTAGCAAACAAAATCTATTTTTTCATATAGCTTAGCTTATCCACTTCATAAGTTCTAACTATGTTTACAGATTTTAATGGTTAGAAACTTGTAAACTACATTGAACTGTTTGAAATTAAAGAGCGAATTAATCTAATCTTGCTCATCTGTTCACCAGTAGGTGACTACCTTGATCGAAATAAACCTTTTAAGATACGCAGCCGTGGAACAAATTAATATTAATCAGCATCAGTAACTTTTATTTATCACAAAAAACTGATTCTTGTGATCATAATTTAGGCAAAAAGATAAACAATTTTCTAAGGATTTAGAATTAACTTTGAGTTCAAACTGAAGCACGAAAGCCTTAGCCGAAAACAGCACTATAACAGCTATCTAACCGTACCTGTGCCTTCTTCTGGCAGTCTTTGCTTTATTCTTTTCTTTATCCACAT